CGCCTCAGCCTCTCAAAGTGTTGGGATTACAGGATGAGCCACCATGCCCAGCCAATATTTTAACTTTTAAATTAGATTTTTTAAAAGCTGATCATCTCCTGTTATCTTGGAGCTTATAGTCAACAGAAGAAGAGAGAACTCAAAAACACAAGTAACTAAACAAATATGTCATTACAATTGTCTTAGTCTGTTTGAGCTACTATAACAAAACACTATAGATAACTGATAAACAACAGTTATGTATGCTCATAGTTCTGGAGGCCTGGGAAGTCCAAGACCAAGGTGCTAGAATATTCATGTCTGGTGAGGATTCATATCCCAGTTCATAGAACCATGCCTTCTCGCTGTGTTTTTACCTTGTGGAAGGGGAAAGTCAGCTGTTCAGGGACTCTTTTAATTTTTTTTTTTTTTAGCAACCTTCTCATGTTGAATGAGGTCTCTTTTATAATGGCACAAATTCTATTCAAAAGGACTCCAATCTCATGATCTAATCACATCTCAAAGGCCCTACTGCTAAATACCAGCATCATCTAGGAGGTAGGATTTCGACATAAGAATTCTAAGGGAGACACAAACATTCAGGTGTCTAAGAAAGACAGCAGGGCACCTTATTCCCACTGAGAGACAGGGAACATTTCTTAGAGGAAGAGAAACCAGATGTGGGACACCACGAAGGAGCAGGGCAAAGCTCTGTGAGTCACTTAATGAGGAAGGGTACCCTCACCACCATGATCACATGCTGGAATTCTGAAGCTTTGGGCAAGGTGGGACCAGGACATAATAGTTAACATTTGCAACTTGGATATCAGTATTATTATTATCACACTTCTATGCACACACACAGACACACAGACACACACACAAAACCAGATGACAAATGGGCAAACCAAGGGCAGGAGAACTGTGGGTTCACCCATTTGCCTGGGAAATGACAACTCGGAGGGTCACGCCCAGGCTGACCCCAGCAGCCAGAGCCTTTCGCTTCCCCATGGTGAGCATCTCTTGCCTGCTCCTCCATGGCAATGAAACTAGGAAACACCACAGCCTGGTTCCCCTTTCGGCTCATGGACCCTGGGCTGTGCTAAGGCGAAACTGATTTCAGAGCCATATGTTTTTGCTTTAAGAGTTCCAAATCCAGGAAGAAGATGTATCAAACCCTGTCATTTAAGGTAGGCTCTGCCCCAGACTCTCTGGTACCCCAGCAGCACCTCAACTTTCCCTCATCAGCACAGCAGCGTCACAGATGTTTTCTCTAGAAAGAAAACATCACCCTCATTCTTTACACTATTGGATATTCCAGAAACAGACTCTGGTGTTTGTGAAATGTAATCACCCCTTCTCCTAGTTTCCGGGTCCTAATGGGGTCACTTAATTCCTGGGGATGCCATACCAAGCTCATGAAGCTGATTGTAAGTTCGGCAACCCACTGAATCTCCTAAACAAAAGCCATTTTTCTTGTAGAGCAGCCATGGAGATAAGCACAGCCACGTAGCTACCTGTCATCATTTGACTCCCTCCTGACAAGTGAGGAAAAATGGCTGGACCAGAGTGATGTGACCACCGCCAGCCTAACAGCCATTTAGACCAGGTTTCCAAAGAGTCATCAGAACCCACAGATTTTTCTAGTCATCAACAGCATACCCAACATTCCCGCTCCTCTAGTCATCAACCTGAAATGATTTTAGGACCAAAAGGCCTAGATTCAAATCCCAAATCTTCTACCCACTAACTGTGTGACCTTGGTCAACTTAAGTGATGGATCTATGTCTCAGTTCATCAATACTACATACTATAAAAATATTAATTTGCTTTCCTAAATCCTCTTTTCCCCCACTCCCAATCTCAACATTGAAGACTGATATTCATACAGTTTTCACCTATAGGGTAGTAGTAGTTATTAAAAGATTAAATATATGTATGGTTTGAGCTACTACCTCAAGCTCTCCAAGGAACCCATTTCCAGTATCCTCAGAATTGCTCCATAATTTAGCAACAAAAAGTTAATAATAGGCACATCTGGGACCTCTGGGACCCCACAGCTGGCATCATGTCACATTGGTTGGTGCCCAAGACAAAAAAGTCCCCAAAAGTGTCTGTCCTTGCTCCCCACGAGGAATCTCCCAGGGGTATCCAGGACCACCCATGCTTTGTCCATGCATTCTACTGGCCCTGAGATTCCTGGGTGAATACTACCAGACCATCTCGACACTCACATGTGGGAGCAGCCAATCCACACTGCTCCCAAATGCCAGTATCTGTTCCCTCTGCCAGAGCAAGTGCTAATCTAGCAGAAGCAGAGTGGGGTATGCCTTTGGCAGTGCTACACCCAGGTGAGCAGGCCCTCATGCCATCCAGACCATGAAAGCTATGACCCTCAATCTCAGCCAGCATTCCCTAGAATCATTGATGTGTGGCCACTTGTGGAAATCACAGTCACTGCAAGCCAGGCTCTAAGAGGTCCAGAGAAAGCTGGGGACAGCAGATGGGCAAGTCAGGAAACAGGAGACAGCCAACGGCTGAAGGCTTTAACTCCATGGCTGGGATGCCCAAGAGAGGAGAGTACTCTGGAGTCCTATAGTTACCCTGGTTTTCCCCATTTCACAGATTAAGGGTCTGGGGGAGTGATGGGAAAGACCATTTAAAATGTAAGTGGCAGAGTCTGAAGCCAACTCCAGGCTCCCGGCAACACAGAGGCCATGCTCAGTCTTCACACCGCACTGCCTCTCCTTCAACCTGAAGTATATGTTCAACTTAATTATAATTGACATTCCAGTAAATGATTTTCATGACTTCGTTGGTAAGAGAGAATCTGACCATATAAAAATTGTAGGCAATATTATAAAATCTAGAAAAAATTTTAATGTAATCACTTAGTTCAGCAGAAGCTGAGAGAGGTCTTAGGACCATGAAAAATATTGATTTTAAAAGAAATTCTGCACTCCTTAAGAGTACAAGGCCCATAATGACTATCAAGTGCACAGAGAGGTTGGTGGGAGAGTTTAATGTAATTCAAACCACAAGGTGTAGTTTAGCATGTGACATCCATGCCATCAAAAGATCACAGCAACAGTTTCTAAAAATCGATGAATGGCCCGTAAATCATCATCATGTTAATAAACTATGAGTACTACAACTTGCATCACTTGGCAAGCAGTTTTGTACATTTAGATTAGAGAGATTTCAAAAATATATTTAGTATTTTTATTTATAGCTTGATTTATATATTAGCTGATATTACTGTAATGCTTAAGTATTTTTAATATCACCCCTGCATACACTTATAGAAAGGATGTCTTCACGAATGTGTATGAGCATAAACTAGAGGATTTATGATAATCTGAGTATAGCATTCAAGCACCACCACTGTGCACACAATAGCCCTTTGGATCTGGTCATCACACAGACCATCCCTGTCTCATCCGGGACTGAGGGCAGAGCCATGAGGGAGGAATCAGGATACGCACATGAAGGTAAAGAAACTGTGGCAGTGGTATTTAGATGTATTTTTCTTTTCTTTTTCATTTTTCCTTTCTTGGCTCTCAACTCCCTCCTTGGGGAAATCAACGGCTCCCTACTTCAGGTGGTTCTGGCAAATGCATCAGGATGCCTCTTTGGCTATAAATGAAGAAAGAAACAGGAAAAAAAGAAGCAGACAACAGCGTAAAAATCTCATACAAAACACCAAGAGGGAAAGCAATCCAATGACACCCAGGTCCATTGTTCTTTTAGGCGCTAAGAAACCTTTCCCAGAAGCACCCCTACCCCCAGCAGACTCCCAATTCATGTCAACTGCCCACAGTTGGATCACATGAACCCTTCTCAGCCAAGCATGCACAGAGGGAGAAGAATTGTCCTAAGTGGTGCACACTAATCAAGATTTGCTCCTACCAGGGCACTCCAATGAAACCTCATCCACTTCAGAGTAGACACGGCACCACTTGGGTTTGAATTCCATGTTCACTAGAAAATATTTTAAAAGGTGGGTGATAAGGAGGAAAGAGAGTTGTTTGACAGATTGATATAGTACAATTATTTCTCTTTCCATCAAAAAACAGCAAATATTGTCAAATAAAGCAATCTCGTCTCTCAACTCTGACAAAACAGTACACCAGTCATACAAACAGAAAGCCGCATGCAACCTAGAAGCCAGAATCACCATTCTTGTACTGGTCTGTGCAGCACCCATTAGCCACCAAGTGACATGTATACTAAGCTGCTGGAAAATGTCAAACTACTGAGCAAACATAATCTACTCAGAACAGACCTTTAGTGAGACTGCTTATATCAGATAGGGATTTTTATGCAAATTGTTTAAAGTTCAGCCCAGATGGCTTAAGGAATTGATTCAGAGTCAGGGTGGGCTCTCATAAAACTTGTTGGTTCAGCAGTTCAGACATGATTCCTGAAGCCCCTTGGTGTCTCGTCTTCTTTCTATCTCTTAGCTCTACCTTCTTAGGGACAGCATCACCATCAGACTTCATAGGGTGGACATGTCCCCAGGCATACACAGTAGTTGGAGCTTTACTCTTATGACAAAAAAATAGCTGCCACCATTTCAAGTCACACGTCTTTATCCTAAATGATCCAGGGAAACAAAAATTTCCTTTCCAATAGTACACACCCAGATTGTGGGATCTCTGTCATCATCCTGAAATGGGTCGTTTGACTAAACCCAAACTAATAACAGCAGCCAAGGGAAGAACACACAGATTGGCTTAGATCAATCATAGCTTAATTCGCGAACTGTGTGTCAGATTGATCCCATACCAAAAGCACATGAAAAATGGGTATGTTCAAGGTACAGTGAGAGGGAGAAAGGGAGAAGTAAAGAATGGATATTGGACACACATTTCCCTGCACCTGTCCTCCACACCTGAGCTCTTCTCTGCATAAAGGCATCTTTCCAGCAAGCCTCCAGTTTCCAGAACTCTTTTAGAGCTATATTTTACAAAATTGCATGGCTCATTTTACTCATGCTACTTAAGAGGGAAAAAAATCCATAAAATCATGACATATTTATTCAACAACTGTCCCAGAATCAGAGTCACGGTACCTGAGGGTCCTCCTTGGTTGGCTCAGAAACAGGTTTTGTGGCTACGGTTTTCCCTGATGAAACATCATGTCAAGGCTGTATCTAGACTCGTGCTCACTGGGCTAAAACCATTACTAATCAAGCTTGGAGATTTAGTCGCTGTCATTACACACAAGATGTGAGACAAAAACTGGGCTAAGCTAAGAGATACCAGCCCAGATTGGCATGTGGATCATTTTCACTCAATTTCCCTCCACTTATGGATCAAAGCTCTCTGAGAATAGCAGTTAACAGGAGAAAATTCCAAAACCTGAGTAGGTCCATCCAGCTCCCAGCTGCAGCCTGGAAACAAAGTAAAAAGACACAGAGGGAATTCCCACCTTCCAATGATCCATCAAGCAATGAGATGAGAAATGAGCGAAACATGATCTGCAGCCCAAATACTATGCTATTGTTGCAACTCCCCAAGTCCACAGCAATCCATGAGCAGCAGTCTGGTATACACAAAATGCACCCGGAATTCGGAGTCTGCATACTTACATTTGACAAATTACTACTTGAGCAACTCACTTGGTATCTCTGAGATTCAACTTCTTCCTTTGTAAAATGGGAACAGCATATCAAGTAGATAACTTTTGAAGTACCTGTCTAATCCACTATTACTCCTCCCACCTGTTCCCCAGTGGGCGCTGCTTTGCAGAGTGCTTCCAGCCGCCACTTTCTACAACAGCTGCAGCCAATTGGACCAAGAGTAAAATGTGGCCAAAACTGGGCCACCTAGATTTCTCTCCCCAATAATATTTAGAATTGGACCCAAAGAGGAACCATTAGTCTCTTTCGGAGTAGTGGGACCATTTATATGTAGAATTGAATTGTTAACAGGCAGACCCACTTGTGCTGGCAGGCAGAAGACTATCTACACAGGAAGATTAAAACCAGGCACGGGAAGGAGCTGAGAGGAGACCAAGAAGGTTGCGACTGCTTTCCAGGCCCTTCCAGAAGCCCAGCTGAGCCACATAAATGCCATATTCTTAAAGTCAGTCTTCTTCAACCCCCTTCTCTTGTTTAAGAGACTGAAGTTGGTTTTCGTTATTTGCAAGCAAAGAGTGTTTATGAACACAATGCTTCACAAAATCATACACTAGTCATACAAACAGAAAGCTGCATCCAAGATGGAAGCTGGAGTCACCATTCTTGTACTGGTCTGTGCAGTACCCAGGGACTGTGGCTGTGATAATTAAATGAAATAATGCTTTATAAATGGAAAGCACTATAAAAATTCACAAAGACAATAGATCTGGACCCCAAAGTGTACTATTTTTAATGAAAGACTCCAATTATTTTGGAGAAGATATTTCCTGACATGGAAAGATGTTTCGCAGTAAGCAAATGGTCAGGTTACCAAAATAGAATTTGTTTCTACCAGGGGTCAACCAAACTTTTCTGTAAAGGATCTGATAGTAAATATTTTAGGCTTTTTGGGCCATATGAGCCCTAACATAACAACTCTATTCTACTTCTGTATTGAGGAAGCAACCACAGATAACAAGCAAACAAACGGATAGACTTGTGTTCTAATAAGACTTTAGTTATGGACCCTGAAATGTGAATTTCATATAAATTTACGTCACAAAATAATATCCTTCTTGTGCTTTTTTCTGCCATTAAAAAATGCAAAGTATAAAATCCACCCTTAGCTGTGGGTTGTACACATACGCAAACCCCCACATACACAACATTGAAAGCATTACTTCAGACCATTGCTTTGTTAAACTCGGGTGTGTCCGTGTGAGTTATGGCCACCATTTGAGCTGTGGCTATCACATTTCCTGGCTTGGGCTCCCTCCCCTACTACTTAGGGGAGGCGAATCTCCTCTCTCTCTCTCTCTCTCTCTCTCTCTCATTTACTTTCTAAATAAATTATATTTTCCAATCTAAAAAAAGGAAAGAAAGCAAGCATTATTTCAAAATATTTAAAAATTTTTACCTTAAGGTGGTGAATTTTGGAAATACTTATTTTCCTCTTTGTGCTCACCTAGATTTTTCTATTTTATACAGCAGGTGCACATTATTTATGGACTTATTTTAAGTAAATTGGGAACAAAAAGAAAGTGGGCTCACAAAATGTAGTTCAAAGGCAAAGAAGGAGGTAGGGAATGGCAGAGTTGGCATGTATCAGCCCTCCAAGGTCCCCAGAACTCCAGCATTCTTCCTGGGAGTTATGCTATCCCAGTCTCACTGGAAACCAAGACTACAGCACTGGCACAAAGCAAGGAGTCCTGTCTAAAATGAAGTACCCATGTCACCACGGAACCACCTCACCAAGGAACCCAGCCTCAGTGATCTAGGCCCCCAATTCCAGAAATTATATTAGGAGTCCCAGCCTAGAATCATAGCATTTTTTGTTAAAAAAAAGAAAAAAACCAAAATGAATGAGCATAATACCTTCTTTTTGAATCCGGCTGGTCAAGGAGTAGTTGAAATTCCTTCAGAGAAAGGAGCTCAAGGGAGCATCCACCCAAACTCTCACCAGGGCCTGAATGCCTCTATGTAGCATCTCTGCCCAGGCCTCAGCCTGTCTCTGCCCACGTAACTTCATAAGTGCAGAGCAACTCAATATCTATGGGTCACCTCCTATGTGCCAGGGGCTATGCTAGGTGCCATCCAAAAGATGTACCTCCTCTGCCAAAGGCTGCAAGTCATGTTCTCAATGTCAGGATTGTTCATGTTCAGCTTAAAGGCTCTCAAATCTAAAATAAAAATAGCAATAATAATAATGGTGCTATACTTGTGGCAGCCATTGTCTCGTTTTGCCTTCTTTTTACCTATGAGTAACCTCAGTTGAGAAACGAAGGCTCAGAAAGGCAAAATGACTTGCCTATGACTATCTGGCAACAGGCAACTGGCAAAGTCAAGATTCAATCACACGTTGCAACTCCAAAGTGACGAAACATCATTAACCTGGGGTCCCTCATGCAAATTAACACCAGGGAGCCTGTTAAAAATGCATACTCTCAGGCTTCGTCCTCAGACCTGCTCATTCTGAATCTGTATTTTGACACAATCCTCAAGTATGCAAAAGAAAATGAAGAAGAGAACAAGATTGATTAAGCATCTGTGGACTAGCCACTGTACCACTTTAACGTGACTATTTTCCTTTTAATCACCAGGATGACTCTGTTTTTATGCCCATTTTATTAGTATATAAGTGGGGGCCTAAGACTCAGAGAAGTTAAATAATTTGCCCAAGATCCACAGCAAGCGAGTGGCAGTCAGAATCCGACCCAATTATTATTATAACATGCTATCCTCTTACTTTTGTGTCAGGCTAAAGGGAATTGGAAAGCCATTTAGCCAGTTTGCAAAAGGCTCAGCTGACCTTTGGGATTTAAGTTAACTAGTAACATCAGAAAGGGTAATTTCTACATTACAAGCTTAAGCTTATAATAAACTACATTAGGAAACAACAGGTATAGGATCCTTAATTGTGTCAACTGGGAATAAGGTGTTTTTTGTTTGTTTGTTTGTTTTTTAACCTCTGTTAGATTAGGGTGTTCAGTTTCCTTATGAGGTATCAACAAGGTGCTGAAATGTCAGCCTTTGAAATCAACAATTTCCTCTTCTCTGATAAAAGTGGAATTAGAAATTCGTCTGAGGGCAACTGCCAAATTCACCACCAGCTAAGGAGAAATGAAAGACTGAATGAACACTGAGAAATGCTAGATCTTTTCAAAACAAGGAAAGACCTAAAACTTTGCACACATCAAGTCAGAAACAAAACATCCTGCTGAGTTGGAGGTTTCAGGATGGTTTGCATCAACTGTGGTCCCTGATTCAAGTGATGAGACATCGCATATCCAACAGCACAAGGAGAGAGGGGAGAAGGCTACCTACCTACTGCATACAGCCCCAGTGACAGAGCCTTGGAGAGAAACACTAAGTGCTGGGGGCCCTTACCCTCGCCCACACAGTCTTGTCTTTTCTTTTGCCTGTCCTGTTCAAAAACTTGTTCTTCTCACCTCAAAAGATGTAAATGTTCAGTAATAGCAATGAAATAAATACATGACTAAATGGTATTGTGGGGTGATTATTCCATGGAAATTTGAGATGTTCTACTGGGGTGTCTCCAAAGCATTCTTGGAGTTGGGGTGGAGATCGGGCCTGCACTTGTCCCTCCCCGCCTGCTTTATATGTTGGGATTCAAAGTAATGTTTGACTTAGAGAAACAATCTCATATCTAAAAAATAAAAAATAAAGTTTGGAAAACTATAGGTACAATAGGAAGAGGATTAATCAAGAAAGAAAAAAGACATTATAATTCTAACACTTCATATTGCCAGTGTGACCTTGAACAAGTTGCTTGACTTCTCTGGGATTCAGGTTCATCACTTATAAAATAGTTTGTTGCGTTAGATTATCTCTAAAGTCCCTTCCAGTTCTAATATAATTTTATTACATCATTTTAATTGCCATCTAATTCTATTGTTTTTTCTTTTTTATGTGTCTTCTGATTTGTTCTAATTTCTTTACAATAAGCATGCATTTTTGTAGAAAAAAATGATCTATTCTCAAAGACATATAAATTAAATTAAACAAAGAATTCTGCTCAAGTCTTCTCTGCATTTGCATTGCTTTTAACAAAAGCTAGAAGAGATGTTTTCCACGTTCTTGCCTGGGGAGAACAGAGTCTAAAGTCATGCTGTAGGGAGAGCTGAGGCTTCAAAAGCAAGTAATGCTTAATCTGTTCTATTTCTGAAGCACAAAATAAAACCAAACAAAAAAGAAAAATAAGCTACCGCTTCTCCAGTGCCAAGTTTCCTCATGCATAAATAGAGATCCATCCAGAAAACAGCATTCTCAGTCAGGTGGGACAAATCCTGTGTGCTTTTGTGGAAAATTCCCTCAGCAAGCTGGCATCAAAGACACTGTCTACAGCTGCCTCCATATATGGCCAGAAAACCACACGAAGGTTGGGAGATGCGTGAGCTCTGCGGGGCAAACGCCCGGGTGAGAAAGCGGCCGCACCCTGATCCCATGGAGTAAACATGGCCGACAGGCCTAGGCCTGATTGTAAGTCCACCCTAGGCAAAACTACTGCAGTTTTCCTGGTCCATCAGCCAGCCCATACCCCAATCCCACCCACTGTGAATCTCGGTAGTGCTCAGTTCCGCTTCCCCGTGGACCTACAGTTAATCCTTTCTCTTCCTTCTTCATCAATAACTCTCCAGGAAGGCACCCATAGCCACAGTCATTTCAGTGTAATTACATGGCTTTCTGTGATACCACTCCCAGGTGATTACGCTTTAATGGAAAGCAAGGAATAGTTTTCTACTTGTGGAATT